AAGTCTTAAAGACTTAAAAATAATTAAAGACCAAAACGAATTACCTCAGAGTCCTCTCTGTTTCTTCAGAAAGCCTGTTCTTCTTAGAAAAGTTAAGGGTTAGGGGCGCCTGGGGGCTCATAGGCTGAGCATCTGCCTTAGGCTCAGGGCATGATCCCGGGCCCCAGAATTGAGTTCCACATCAGGGTCCCCACAGGGAGCCTGCTTCTCCCTCTGCCTGTGTCTCTGCCTCTCTCTGTGTGTCTCTCATGAATACATAAAACTTTTTTAAAAAAGAGAAGAAAAGAAAAGGTAAGGGTTCTATGGAAGGGCCAAGAAAATGGAAGGTTTTCAGAAAGGATACTGCAAAAGCCTCCTAGAAATCAAGAAAAGTGGGAATGAAGCTCTGGGGCAGAGGAAGTTCAAACATACAGGAAGGGCACCTGGCTAGCTCAGCTATAGAGCCTGCAATCTTGGGGTCACGAATTCAAACCCCACGGTGTATGCTTGCTTACATACATCCATACATATTAAAACAATACTAATAGGAAAACAAAGCAAACCTGTTTCTATTTAAATCATACCTTTCCCTCTTTCTTATTAAAAAAGGAATTTGATGTAAAATATAAAACTTTTCCCATACTCCATTCAAACTTAAGAGGAATTCACAATCATTTTAATTTCTTGAGATGGACATTTAAATAATTGATTTTTAGCCTGTTTTTCTGATACATGTTTTTAAAGCTGTAATATTTCCTCTAAGTATAGAATTAACTGTATCCCAAATTTGGTGACATGTATTTTCACTATTATTGAATCCTATTAATTTCTAATTCCTCTATAACTTTTTATTTTTTATTTCATGAGAGACAGAGAGAGAGAGAGAGAGAGAGGCAGAGACACAGGCAGAGGGAGAAGCAGGCTCCCTGCAAGAAGCCTAACATGGGACTCGATCCCAGGTCTCCAGGATCACACCCTGGGCTGAAGGTGGCGCTAAACCGCTGAGCCACCAGGGCTGCCCTAACGCATGGGTTTAGAAGTACATTGCTTAATTTCAAACATTTTTCTTTGTAATTGATTTCTAACTTAATTCCACTGTGGTCAGAGGACACCATGAATGGTTTTAATCTTTTGACATCTGTTGAGGCTTGCTTTATGACTAAAAAAATGGGTCATATTCTATCCTCATTGGGTATGGTGCTCTATATTAAATTTTTCTTTGTATTGTTTGATTTTCTACATCCATGAGTTAAGGAGCATTAATGCTATCTTACAGATGAGGAAAGACACAGAGAGAATTGTCAAATCAATTTACTAAAATTGCTAGTTGCACAGCAAGGAAGAAGCATATCTGGGATTTAAACCCAAGAAGAGCTGGATTAATTTAAACCCAAGTGGAGTCCGTGCTCTTAACCACTGTGTAATAACATTAGATTTTATAGGGATGCCTGGGTGGCTCAGGCAGGTAAGCTTCTGCCTCTGGCTCAAGGTCGTGATCTCAAGGTCCTAGGATTGAGCCCAGCATGGGGCTTCCCACTCAGCAAGGAGTCTGGTTCTCCCTCTCCTTCTGCCCCTCCCCCAGCTTGTGTGCCTGTGTGTGCTCTCTCTCTCTCTTTCAAATAAATAAAATCTTCAAAAAAATAGAGTATGGATATATATCTGCATATACATATATATGTATGTTATAGATACACATAATAACAACGATCCTAGGACAAATTGTTTTCTCTCAAATAGGGAAAAATTTTACTAAAACAGAACCCCAAAAATAATGAAGGGCAATTTTTTTATCAGAAGTGCTTAAGATGTGAATTTGAAGGGATACTAACACTGCATCCTCAGTATCAGCAAGCTATGCAAAAAATAAGAACAGAAAAAGAAAACTGGAAAGAATTATACTAGTATGATCAGTGGTTATTATGAAATGTTGGGGACTTCTATCCTTTATGTTTTACTTTTCCAGGATTCCTTAATCCCGACTACGCATCACCATTAGAGGAGGGGGAGAACACAAGAGCTTACTATAGGCCTTAACTGAACTGACAATTTTCTATTTTAATTCTCTAGTTAGGAGATAGTGTTACAAGAGAATGAAAATCACAGGAGATAATGGGTCTAGAAGTGCTGTGTAAACTTATAGTTTATTATTATAGTTTATTATATAATAATTATATAATTATTATTATTATAGTTTATTATTAACAAATGTTAATAATTATAAAGCATCCCAAAACTAAATAAAAGCTTTTTCATGCCTTTCCCCTTTTAAACTTCAGCTGCTTTAAAATGCCTAACTTTTTAAAAACATATTTGTTTAAACAAATTCAGAAGAGCTGAGTTTTGAAGAGCAGAACAGTAAACTGCCACATACCCTTGAATACTGGCAAAAAAAGAAAGCAATGACAAATTTTACAAAAGCATCTCTCTCTCAGTATCACTGAAAATGCCCTGATCTGTAATTTAATAAAATGTTGATTCAGTGCTGATGATATAAATAGGAAATCTACATTTAACCCAAAAAAGTGGTGTTATTTCCGGGAAAGAATTTTTATAACTCCTAAAAAAAAGAGGAATACTTCATTTAAATATGAATTAAATATACACTGTATAACCAAAAATGTACATATCATAATTAGTGATAAGAATATATGCTCAGTCTATTGAGGGTATGTTTTCCTTTCAAAGTTTCTTCTGCTATTTCTGCACAGAATCTATGAATAAAGAATGCACAGCTGCCTAGCAGATGTATAATTTCGGTGTTTAGATTCCATTCTTTCTAGCTCCATTCTGCTGGAGGTTTTGGATTTTCTATTTCCATATGGTTTTTGACCTCCCTCCATTTAGGTTCTACCTCCCCACATCTTATTCTATTTTAGTCCATTATTACAGAAAAACACATTAAATTTGAAACATCTTAACTTTCTTTTTAAAGCTTAGAAGTTGCAAAGCTGAAAAAGAAAGGGAGAACATACAGGAAGAAAGATCATCAGGTAACGAGAACAAGACAGCCCATTTCCAAAACTTCCTATTTAGATAGCCCCCCCTCCCTGGAATTAAGCCCCACCTCAACCCCAAGTTTCTTATATTTCAGTTTAGACATTCATGCTTAATGCATGAAGAGAAATTCCAATTTTGCTCACCTAATTTCCTCAAACTCTTATAGTAAAAACATTCAGTTAAAAAAGAAAAGAAAGAAAGAAAGAAAAGAAACAAGAAACATGAAGCTTTCTTTTTTTTTTTAAACTTACACTGCATATACCGAAATGTTTACAGGATCATCTTTGTATAATATGAAATGAAGGCTTTTTCTTTTTTTTCTTGGAGCTTCTCTATGCTTTATATTTGTTCAGTGAGCAATACTTTTGTAATCAAGAGATTAAAAAGGCTTTTGTTTTGTTTTTGAAGAAAAACCTGGAAGGGAAGTAGGGTTTGTTTTAAACGTCTACATTCCATAATCAATTATGTTTAATAATTGCTATGAAACAACCCAAAGAATTTAATAATATTCCGGGGGACAGTCTCTGCATCATTAACGAGTAAAAAATCAGGTTTCATTTCCCAACCTACTTGTCTCCCAAAACTGTCCCATAGATGGGCTTATTCACTTTCATTTTCAAATGATGTGGCAATATTTTTTCTTTTTTTCCTCCTGTTCTCCCACAGGGTAGATTTTAAATGTACTGTAAGAAGTGATACAGATCACATAATTATGTCAAGCAAATATCTGCCCGGTTTCAACTACTTTACAGTTACTGCCAAGGCAAAGCTGTGAAAAAAGGCCTGTCTGTGTGATCATCAACAATTAAACTTGTATGTATCTCAGAAGTGAGATACATAACATCAGTAATTTTTTAATGATATCTATGGGAGGCGTTCTGGATAAATGCTTTAAAAAGCAACTGCATTCCACCCGCTGGCCTTTGAATACTGTTTTCTCTACGATGCAAAACAAACATCAGGGAAGTCATGGAATACCAATCAACAAGTTACCCCTGGACAGTTTCTAACAAATTTTAAGTATTGAAAAGAAAAATAGGAGTTAACCGTCAAAAGTCAATCAAATTTGACCCATCACATACATATATCGAGACCTCGGTGGAGGGAATGTTTCACGGGGTACCTCCATTCACACACCGGCAACAGAAGCTGGCACAACTGAAGTAAACCGTGTCCGTGTGTGTAGGGTGCACATCCTCCTCTTAAAATTATCCCACTCTCTTTGGGAACGAGTATAATTGTGTGGTTACGCACACGTCCCTGGAGTCAGACCACCTGGGTTTGAGTCCTTAGCTCTCACCCCTCCCAGCCGCAGGACCCTCGACAAGCTACTTCACCTCTGTGGCCTCACTCTCCTCTTGTGTTGAAAGAACAAGAGCCACACCACGTCCTAGACCCTTTGTAAGGATTAGATGACCTAGTATGTGTAAAGCATTTAAAACAGGGCCGGGGCAGAGTCAGGACCGTATGTAAGGTATCATCTAGTCCCTTCTCATCTTTTATTTTATTGCTCTACAGGATTTAAACGAAAACTCACTCACCTCTTCTATGTGAACAACACTGAAAGTTCATTTAAAACTTCATGGATTCAAAACCTCCTATACTGAGTCCTATATATTAAGCTAAGTCTTTTTACTGACTACTTTTTATTTTAATGTTTCCGAAGTTTGACAAACTCCAACAACTCCATAAAAACTAAGGAATAACATATTTTACTTAATGTCTCAATTAAAAAGGTCATCATACCCAGTCTATAAATGTGAAGCGCACTAGTTAGAATTAAAATATGCTTAATGTTAAAATCATATTGTGCAGAACTGGAATGTACTGGAAACAGAACCATGAAGCTGAGCGCGTCCCGTGCGCTACTCTAACAGCTTTGAACACAAGAGACCCGGGGCTGCCGTCGGAGGGGCTGTGGCAGGAGCGGACACGGGGGGGGGGGGGGGGGGGGGGGGGGGGCTCTCTCAGGTCTGAGGCGGTGCAAACGCGGGAAGAGCTTTTTCTCTTCCTCCCACGTTTACCTCCAACTCTGGTTGGTGCAGGTCCAGGTCCCACCCTCGAGTGACATCGGGGACAATTCCTACAGCCTTCCAGGAGCCTTCAGTCATAAAAAAAAAAGTGCAGCTCCCCGCTGTTTAAAACTTTCATCTGCAAAAAAAAAAAAAAAAAAACTTTCATCTGCAACCTTCCCGTCCTCTCCTTCCCTCCAAAAAAACAGTGACAGGGAATAAAGGGAAAAGGAGAAAAAATGAGTGGGAAATACCAGAAAGGGAGACAGAGCATGAGAGACTCCTAACTCTGGGACACGAACTAGGAGTGGTGGAAGGGGAGGAGGGTGGGGGTGGGGGTGACTGGGTGATGGGCACTGAGGGGGACACTTGACAGGATGAGCACTGGGTGTTATGCTATATGTTGGCAAATTGAACACCAATAAAAAATAATTTATTAAAAAAAAAAAAAAAAAAGAAACAGGGAAAAAAAAACAAATTCAGGCGTGGCCAAGGCCCAGCAGGTCACCTAGGAAGGGCCCCTCGGCAGCGGCTGCTACCACCTGCCACCACCCCGGCTGCCCGCAGCCCAGGGATGCCTTTCCTCCGGGGTCAGGCCAGGGCTGAGGGGCAGGGGGCTCTGACCCGACCCCCAGGTGCCCCGCAGAGCCAGCCCAGATGGCCGCAGCCTGGTCATGTCCACACTACCCACTGTCCCTGTGTCCCCAGAGGTCTCCTTATCCCTTACTCAGGCCCGTGCACATAAGCCAACCAGTTCCCTAACAACCACCGTCTGGGTAACGACAGCTCTGGTTCTGCTCCCTTTCCCTGGTACCCCAGCCTCGGGACTGGTCTCTTGGCCCTCCCCACAGTAAGCTTCCAAGGAGAGGCCACCCCAAGGGAGCGAGAAGGGGACAGTATGCACAGTGCTCCCTGTCTAGGCCAACTAGCCCCTGTGGGGACGCCAGCTCCAAAAGGTCTCTATCACACCCCGGTAGGCCCCAAAGGATTCAGGCCACTAAGTGCTGGGGATGTCTTTAGGACGTCGAATCCTTACTCTTAAGTCTGAGGTCCTACTCCCCATTCTGAGCTAATTAGGAAAGTCTGATGCTACTTACTTCTTAGTTTTTTGGGTATTTTTTTTTTTAGATTTGTTTATTTATTTTGAGAGAGAGAAAAACAGACCACAGGGGTGAGGAGCAGAGGGAGAGACACAACCTCAGGCAGACTCCCTGCTGAGCACAGAGCCCAACATGGGACTCGATCCCGACCCGGAGATCATGACCCAAGCAGAAATCTAGAGTCATACATTCAACCAACTGAGCCACCCAGGCGCCCTAAAATTCCACACTTTTATTTTTTAAAAAGATTTATTTTAGAGAGAGAATGAGCAAGTATGGAGGGGGAGGGGGAGAGAATCTCCAGCAGACCCCCCACTGAGCACGGAGCCTACACTGATGCAGGGGCTCCATCCCACAACCCTGAGATCCCGACCTGAGCCCCGTTTACTTCTTATTCTTACTTGTTTGACCTTGGTGAAGCAATTAACCTTCATTAGCCTCCGATTCTGAACATATAAAACCAAAAAAAGCAAGGAAATCTCCCATTATCAATTTGCCAGTACTGCTGACACACAAGAGTACTTTGCAAATTCAGATGTCCATGTACCTAAACATAACACAAACTTCCAGAAGGCACCAGGATTATGTCTACTCTTCAAGGACCTAGACATACAAGCCATCCTAACTGCTTCCGCCCCTTCTCCCACACAAATCCTCTCTCAAACGTTCATCCCCACTAACATCCATTAGCCATCACTACAGCAAAAATAGTGTTCAGTGCTTAACTGTATTAATTCATTTAGTCTTCACAGTAACTACGAGAGGAAACTATTATTATCCTCATTTTACATATGAGGAAATGAAGCTTAGAGAGGATTAACTACTTTGTGGAGCTCGGGTCACAAACCCAGTAAACAGCAGAAAGGAAGGAACACAGTAAATACAGAGATAGGTAACTAATAAGCAGATAAATAATTCAAGGTTTAATGAACGTTTTAAGTTATTTGGAATCCAGATAAACAGAAAGTACCTGTCATCATATCAAGATCCCTTTATCTTTTTAAGCAATTAGCAGCTTCTTTGTATAAAAATTTTACTTAATCTTAACTGTGTGACCTTTTCTTATTTCTTCTGAATGATGTGACCAGTAGAACCTGTCACAAACCATCTTCTACACAAACTGGTAAGATGCTAAGAAAGAATAGGAAACAGTGAATAACTTAGGAAGAACAAAAGCTTAGTGAACACCATTAGAGTAATGATGCCACTTGATTAAGAAACAGCATTATATTATAACTGTGGGACTATAATCAGGAAGGGGGAATGTCTCTTTATAATAGTACATTGCACTTCATTTCAGATATTTGTAGTTTTGAAGACTATATTTTAAAAAATGTAGTTTAAAGAAATTTGACTTATGTTCTTTATATTTGAAGTACTTGGGCAGCCCCAGTGCCCCAGCAGTTTAGCGCCGCCTTCAGCCCAGGACCTGATCCTGGAGACCGGGGATCGAGTCCCACATCGGGCTCCCTGCATGGAACCTGCTTCTCCCTCTGCCTGTGTCTCTGCTTCTCTCTCTCTGTCTCCCTCTGTGTGTGTGTGTGTCTCATGAATAAATAAATAAAATCTTTTAAAAAAATAAAGTACTTAATTTTGTTTTTAGACAGAAATTTCACTTGCTTATAATCCCTTGCCCTAGCAACCAGAAACAATCAACCTGGCCACTGCCAAGAAGGTAAAACTTTTCTTCTACCCTCTTAAGTTCTGTGTTGGGGGGGATCCCTGGGTGGCTCAGCGGATTGGCATCTCCCTTTGGCTCAGGTCATGATCCTGGAGACCCGGGACTTGATCAAGTCCCACATCGGATCGAGTCCCACATCAGTCTCCCTGCATGGAGCCTGCTTCTCCCTCTGCCTGTCTCTCTGCCTCTCTGTGTCTCTCATGAATAAATAAAATCTTAAAAAAAAAAAAAGTTCTGTGTTGGGGGACCTGCAAATTAAACTGACAAAAGACAGATTAGCAAAAGAAAAGATAGATCTTTATTCACTCACCAGCTTTTACAGAAAAATGCGACTAGAGAGACAGAATTTGAGGCCCCAGTGTTACGAGGGGAAGGAGAGGGGAGGAGGGCACCTATGGGAAGACAAATGACTTTTAGGATAAAAGATAGATGGGCCCTTGGGAGGATGGATAGGATGTATGTGACAATGCCAGTTTAGGTGTGGTGCTACTTTCTCTTTCTTCTCCCCTCTAAGGATGAGAGTCAATCTCCCCTGGTTTCAAAACTCTGGGGAGCAGCTCTGTGATGATTTCTTCTTCAAGGCTATGCTTTGAGGCAAATAAGGAAGCTCAGAAAAAAAAGCCTATTCTCAAATACCTTTAACCCTAAATAATTTTTATGCCACAGTGATGTATTCTGGACCCCCTCACCATCAACATGTACATTATCTGAACACTCACTGTGTACAAAGCACTGAATTAGTACCCAGGACAAAACAAAATATTTTAGGACAAAAGTCAGTCACCAAGGAGCTTATAAAATAAGTAGAGAGTATCAGACAACTTAAAGTTTTTATTTTTTTAATTTCTAAACGCTCCTAAATCAAAGGAATTTTTTATATATCCTGAACAAAAATAAAAAACAAATGACAAAAGAACTGCAATATGCCAAGGGAAGAGTTAATATCCATACGCCCAAAAAGAATTTCTACAAAATGAGTAAGAAAAAAGATTAGGAAAATAAACAGAGGAGAGAAAAATGCAAAGAACCAACAAACATATAAAACTCCTCTCAACCTTAATCAAAGGAACAGAAATTAAAACTATAATACTGTTTTTTCAGCTGGCAGGCTAGCAAAAAGATTAAAACAGACTGATGTCAATATGCGTTGGTGAGGGGTGGGAGCAAAATACTCCAACACTGTTGGCTGGAAAGTAAATCGTCACAAAGGTTTTGCAGCAGTTTGGCACCGTAGCAGACACGCATGGCTTCTCCTACAGTAAACATATTTCTAAGAATTCATCCTATAAAAGTAGTCTCACGGGACATGTACGAGCACACAACACCGCTGACAATGTTTCTAAAAAACCCAAAACAAACTGGAAACAGTCTTAATAGTCACCAATAGGAGAATGGTAAATAAAATGAAGGTATATTCATAAAAGGAAATATTACTTGGCTACTAAAAAGAATGAGTAAATCAGCAGATCATGACACAGAAAGAGTCCTATTTATGTAGTGAAAACAAAGTTAAAGGAAGGAATGCACAATATCACCTCGTTTTCTGGAAATGGGGAGAAGAAAAGAAAAAAATAAAGGCAGTCGGAAAGAAAGATTATACTCATCCCGGTGCCTGACTCAGTCCAAAGAGCACCGGACTCCTGGGTCCAGGGTGGTAACTGGGGCCCACGGTATAGACACTACTTAACTAAATAAAACCTGACGGGGGCGGGGGGGGCGCCTGTGTGGCCCAGCTGTTGGGCTCCAGCTCTTCGTCTGGGCTCAGTCGCGATCTCGGGTGGGGAGACCCAGCCCACAGGGACCCCTCGCATCCCCGGGGGAGCCGGAGTCCCTCTCCCTCCTCCCTCTGACCCTCCTCCTGCTCTTTCTTTCTAAAATGAATAAATAAACCTAAAGGGAAGAAAAGAAAGATGACATTTATCTCTACACCCTCCACAGTGGCAATGGGGGGGGCAGCGATGCAGATCACAGAAGACTTCCACGGTCTACTCCTGGTCTGAATCTCCATCAAGTGCATGTAACTTCTGGAAAGAGAAGAAACTAAGGGAAGCTCTGTGGCCATACAGTTCGGCAAAGCATCCTGAGGTCTGGCTACACTAAAAGCCGAGAGGGCCAGGAACAAACAAACCTAATGTATCAAAAAATGGTACGAGAAACCCCAAAACACTGCCCTTGAATAATGATGCAAACGAGCTTTGCAGCGAGAACCACTGAGGAAGGCTTCACAGAGCAGGTGGGGTCCTGACGCACTCAGGTCAGCAGACTAGAAGGAGGGAGCGTCAAGGCAGCACTGTCCCTAGAACGCGTGACTTTAAATCTTTTACTACCATATTAAAATCGCAAAAATAATCCGGTGAA